AAAAAACCTTTGCCAACCCACAGTCTTTCCTTAAGTATAGCAGCCAGAACTCTGACTTTGTCTAAAAGGTTAAATCCTGTTAGATCCTGTTACTCTCCTACTCAGAACCTTCAAGTGGTTTCCCGTCTCACCCAGAGTTAAACCCAAAGTCCTTGGAGTCATATGTAAGGCTTTGCTCTGTCTGGTTTCCCACTGCTTTGTTGATCTTATATCCTGCTACTCACTCTCTTCCAGCCACATTGGCCTCCATGCCGTTTCTCAGGTATGTCTGCCGTGCTCCAGAGTCTCTGCACTAGATGACCTCGGATATCCACATGGCTCCACTCAGGTGTTTGAGGAGATGGCACCTTTACAACAAAGCATCAGCGTTAGTGGGCAGCAGTGTTTGGCATCTAAATTCTGAGGGGTCCCATCTGTGAGATGGGGCGACTTGCTAAAGCTGTGCTCTGACAGGCACAGAGAACGTGAGGATAGAGGCTGGTCCAAGACTGGGTTTTCACTAGAAAGATCTGATGAAGAGAAAAGGGCAAGTAGCTGGGTTTGGAGAGAAGTGAAGCAAGGGGAAGACTAATGGACTGAGAAGTCAAAGTCCGTGGGTTAGTTAGTCTTATTCCATAGGCTGCTATAACAAAAGTGCTATATACTAGGTGACTTATAAACAACAGAAATTGATTTCTCGTGGTTCTGAAGTCTGGGAAGTCCCAAAATCGAGGCAGCAGTGGTAGAGTCTGGTCAGGGCCTGCTTCCTGGTTCTCAGATTGCCTTCTCACCATGTCCTCACACGGCAGGAAGGGCTATGAGAGCTCGGTAGGGCCCCTTTTTAAGGACACTAATCCCATTCAGGAGGGCTCCACCCTTACTATACCATCACCTCGGGGGTTAGGATTTCAGTATATAAATTTGAGGGGGGAACAAACCTTCAGTCCAAAATAGGGTCTCAATGGGTCCCAGAATGGTTAAAATGAGAGTGGGTGAACAAGAAGGCTGGAGGGAAAAGTAGACTGTGACAATTAATAATTCATGTATTAGTGCTCAGGCTATGTCCGTTGACTGTTACTTGTTTATTTGTGCTGTGCAATAGAATTCAGCTCTAGGTATTTTGCAGAAAAGGATTTTTATGTTTAGAGGAAACTCCATTGGCCATAAGATCAATTTGTGCAGCACTTTGTAGACGTTTTTG